TGGCTGGCAGTGTCTCTCTGACTCAGCCTTCCACTTCCCAGCTTTATTCTCCTCCTTGTCCCGCCTACACTTCCTGCCTAGCCAATGGCCAATCAGTGTTTTATTTATTGACTAATTAGCAACACATTTGCCATACAGAACATCCCACAGCACTTCCCCCTTTTTTTTTCAAAAAGGAAGGTTTTAACCTTAACAAAGTAAAATTACATATAATTTGGGAATTTGGGCGTAGCTTCTCTTACTACTTCCTGCTGGAGGGGGGCGCTGTATCTTATAGGGACACAAAGAAAATTTTAGGATCATGGAGTAGTCTGTGAGGCTGTATCGTCTGAGCCAGTTGCCTTGAAACCATTCTGGATGTTGGATCATCTGGGCCTTGGTGTCACCTTTCAGGGGGTCTTGGCTGGTCAAACCTGATGTATCTTAATCTGGAACAAATCCATAGCCTCTGGTTTTCTGTGGAAACAAAAGAGACTCTTTTCCAAAGCAACATATCCTTATATCCAAATTTTGAAGTCAAGGTATCTTTAAAATATATATATCGGTTTAACTCAACATCTTTTACAATCAAATGTTTTTCTGCAGTTAAAAATCCCAAAGACAACACAATCCAGATTCTCTGTGTAATATCCATTTTTACGTGGCTTATTTTTTATACTACCTTTACTGTCTCTTTAATGACTTTATTTTTAAAAACTATGTATTTGTTTATATAACTACATATCACCTTTTTTGTCTCTTTCAAGCCTACGTATATTTTACACACATTGTAAACTATTACATCTGAATCTGTCTTATTGTGAATCTCTTGCTTTAAACTGCAGCAGCTGTGGCTGCTGGCTCTGCCCACCTCAGTTTCCCAACATGGCGTTTTCCACCAGCTCTGGGAGCTATCGTGGGTCTCTATGCTTTTATCCAAGCAGCGTGTAGCCCAAAAAACCTCTTTTTTTTTTGTTTTGTACTAGCAAAGTCTAAATCCACCATGCAGCTTAATGTGCCACTTGCAGAGGCCTCATTCCTGCCATACTGCAGGTCGAGCGTGCACGCTAGGAACCCACCAGTAGCTCAAACCAGCAGCTGCCGCTCATTTGAGAGAGACAATTAGGAACTGTTTTTAGCTCCATTTTAGAATCTTTTTTTCTCAGTTTTTACGTGGAATCTCTTGCCACCACGTTGGACGCCATTTGTAGATGTATCCAACCTTCTTATTAAATAATAAACACAGAACCAATGCAAAGAAGAAAGCCAAGAGGTCAGAGCTAAGAGCTAAAACCTTACCCTTCCTCCTGCGGTGGTCCTACCTCTCCGAACCAGAGCTACCCCTGTGTTAAAGTCTTTATATAGAGTTCCTGTCCTGCCTTCTCATTGGTTGTAAACCCAACCACATGACCGCCTCCTCACAGCCTGTCTGTATAGGCCTCCAGGTTTTCCATGATTGGTATTAAGATTAAAGGCATGTGTATCCAATAATGGCTGTATCCCTGAACACACAGAGACTTACCCAGCTCTGCCTACCAAGTGCTGGAATTACAAGCGTACGCTACCACTACCCTGCTTTCCTATGGCTTGCTAATAGCTCTGACCCCCGGGCAACTTTATTTATTAACATACAAATAACATTTTAATACAAATAAAATATCACCATATATAACTCAAAATCTAAATGGTCTTTTAATAAAAAAACAAAACAAAAACAAAAAACCACAGCCAGATAATGTGGTAAATGCTGAAACATCAGAGAGACAAAAGGACAAGCCACAGCCACCACCTCTTACCCCACCAACTCCTCAGCCTGAAAAAAGCCTCAGCTGATAGGCCTTTAGCCAAATGAGCTTCCTCAGCCGAAAAGGCTTCAGCTGAAAAAGCCTCTAGCTGAAAGGGATGCTTCTGTTTAAAAGCCTTTAGTTCCTGTCTCCTTAGGCCTTATATGCCTTTCTCCACCCAGTCATCACTTCCTGGAGTTAAAGGCATGTGGGCTTCCCAGTACTTGAATTAAAGGTGTGTGCCACCACAGCCTGGCTCTGTTTTCTCTCCTAGTCTGAGTCAATCTCATGTAGTCCAGGGTGGCTTTGAACTCACAGAGATCTACACGGATCTCTGCCTCCCAAGTGCTAAGATTAAAGGTGTGTGCTACCACTGCCTGGCCTCTATGTTTAATCTAGTTGCTTGTTTTGTTCTCTGATCTTCAGGCAAAGTTTATTAGGGTACACAATATATCACCACAGAAAGAGGCAATAAGTCTTGTATTTCCCCTACAAAAGACTAAGAATCCAATCAAATATGAGCTTGTGAAGGAAAATATGATTAAGGTTGAGAGACAGGAAGAAGAATGAAGTCTGAAAGTAGATATAGCAGGAAGGGTGGATCACCTTTGGCAAGAGGGGAATCAAAACACTGATGAGTGGGGGAAATGCAGTGAAGTTTCACAGGAAAGTTCAAAGTTGTTTTCTCTTTAGTTATGCTGACTTAAAGTGTCATCACATGAAATTTTAGGATATAAACTTCTAACACTAAGTGACAAATTATTTCTTTCATATCTTTAGATGAAAAAGGCAGTTATTTATGAAACCAACCTTTTCTGTTTGTGATCTACATTTCTAAACATGGAAAATAATAGCCAGTATTTAATGTTTATTATGTTGTCAACCATTGTGATTTACAACTTGCTTCCTTTAATCCTGACAATGAAGATGATCCTGTGAGATAGACTTTGTTTTGCTCTTGCTTTAAGTTCAGGAAAGTGTTGCACAAACAGACTGGCTTTCTCAAAAACACTCAGCTAGTGAAGAATTAATAACAAATACACTCATCTCACTTAGCAAATCTAGGAATGTCTTATCCATTCTTCAATACTCACCCAATACTTACATTGGATTTTTATTTTAAGTAGTCATTGTAATAATCCCAAGATTGGGGATTGAAAATGGTGTGACCATTCAGGAAAGAGCAGAATCTCTTCTCTCTTATATATATTAAAATTTTTCAACAAAAAGATTGAATTCAAAATTTTGACCTAAATGTTTGATTCCACAAATTTTTTATAAATATACTACAATATAATTTTAGAGTACTTGGTAGAGAAATCAAATATTAAATTTAGCAATGAACAAAAAAATCATTAGATGAGCCTTGTATTTAGGTAAAATGAAATTTTTCACTGATATGGCTTCTTAATTGTGGCAAGAAAGTACTTAATCTTTTCTAGAATCATATTAATATGTGGCAAAAAGTTGTGGTAGAGTTTTTAAACTACAACCAATAGATTCATTTCATCTTTAAACTTGATCATTAGCTTTTTACTGTTTTTACCATTTAAGTCCTCCCCTTGTATTTTCTGTGTAATTCCTAGAGATCTGTGGAACATCTGTCTGAGCAAAGCAAAACTAGAATCTTGGTCCATGTATAACTCAAGGTTCTTTCAGAAAATTTGTAATTTGTACCACTACCATTAGAAAAGATTATATCTAAAGCATTCTATTTGATGAAATTCTGCAAGTTTTTACTAAAAAGTTCACCCAGTTGAAAACAATTGAATAAAATTAGATGTAGATCATTTAATGAATCAAGATTCAAACTCTTTGATTCATTAGTTGTATGACTTTAGACAAAGCTACCTAGGTGCTCCTTGCTTTAGTTTCTATATCCATAAAACAGGTTTAATAATAAACCTCTCAGTACATTTCCTGTCATATACTGAGTACTCAGTAGGTTAGTAAGCTAAAGGTTTTTTTTTCATTCAACATTTGCTTATCCAATATGTGTTCACATTACTATCCAAATGTGGTATGGAAATCTATGAAGATAAACACATAAGCAAGTGCCAACAACTGACTTAAGAAATATGGTTGAATTGAGGGAACAGTTTAGATAAAAAGAACACTTTGGTTTCCCTATAGAGAAACATTATCACTTGTTGGAATTGGTAGATGTAAATGGTAAGTTAAAAATTCAGGACATCTATATACTAATTGAACAGTCAATATGTTTTTCTATAATCCAGAGATAAGAGAAGTAGTTAATCAAAATTGATTTGGATTATCTTGCTGTTCAGGAATTAAAGAGTTTTTTTTTATTATAATTTTGAAAACACAGCGTGATAAAGTCTTTGATGAATATATGTGATATTATTAACCTGAAATAGTTGTGAGTATTACTTTTGCCAATAAATGTTTAACAAGTATATTTTATGACTCTGTAAGCCACTAAGAGGTTATGTAGTTTTAGAAATGTCACTGAAACTTCATTATTTTAGTATACTTACCTAGAAATGATTAGTAAAATTGTACTATAATATTGTAATAACTTACATTTTTATTGTTTAAGAATTTCATACATGCACACAATGTGTTTTGATCAAATCTACCCTTATCTGTAGATGGTACATATGTAAGTTAAAACTGTTAATAACTGGGTGGTGGTGGTGCATGCCTTTAATCCCAGCACTCCGGAAGCAGAGGCAGGCGGATCTCTGTGAGTTCAAGGCCAGCCTGGTCTACAGAATGACAGATAGGGCTATGTATAGGAACTGTCTTGAAAAAACAAACAAACAAAAACTGTTAACAAAATAGTAATTATCACCATTATTGATGTTGCTACTAGGAGTACTGTCAGAGACCAAACATGGACCATGGAAAAGTACTAGCTAAGCCAGAGAACAAGCCCCTACCCTAAACCAGATGCCCCCGAAGATAAAGAACAGGTCAGGCAGGTCAGGTAGCATAGCAACAGAACAATGGGCCCTGACCAGTGACCTTACCACCTAGCAGCCTCACGACTTGCACGACTTGCACGTAGCCCCTCACCTGCATGTCCCCCTTCACCTGCACGTACGGCACGTCGTGCACCCCTTCCCTCCTCCCCTCCCCCTCCCATACTATATAAGCCTTGCTGAGGAGAATAAACTTTGCAGCTTGATCAGAACACACTGTCTTGCTGTCGTCCTTTCGTGTCTCCCCCGTCCCTCTCATTCTCTCCCACAGGTGGGTCGCCCCCGTTGATACCCCGCTGGCCGGGGCAACTAGCGCCCAACATGGTGGCTCGACCCTCGCCTCCTTGGGAGTTGAACGTCCTTCTCCAGGAAAGCCCAGACGTCTGGTGGAGATTTTTGGTGATCGTCCGTTGAGACCACCCGACTCGACGCCCTTTCTTGACGATCCGGAGGAGAGCGGGAAGGACGAGGTTAGTCTAAATTTAGGCTTAACCATGGGATGGGGAAGTTCTTCCCATTACCTTTTTCCTTAAGGGCTTTAAAGAGGCCCTCAAGACACGAGGGATAAGGGTTCGTAAAAAAAAAAAAAAAAGACCTCAACAAATTCTTTAGTCACTTAGAGGACTGTTGTTCCTGGTTTCCCCAAGAAGGGATGATTGATGTTAAGGATATCCTAAAGGTTTATTAAAAAAAAAAAAAAAAAAAAAAAAAAAAAAAAAAAAAAAAAAAAAGATTTAGGAGACCCCTAAAAGCTGCCAACCTTTTAGAGAGAAACCTGCCGTTACTTCATTCAGGGTCTTACAAGGAGGTAACACAATATTATCACACTACCAGACCTCCTGAGAGTATAAACTAGAGTTAATGAAGTTCACTATGTTCTCCATAGCAGCAGTGTCCTGCTACAAACAGGTTTTTTTTTTTTTTTTGTGCTCAAACTAAATGGATCTAAGGACCAACTTGAGCCTAAACTTCTAAATTGCTAACTAGGAGCTCACTCCAGCAGCCATCATTTAAATAACAATGCAAGAGCCACAGCCAGAGCCGGTTTAAAAACTAATGGCAACTCCCAGCTCTCCTAAAAAAGTGTCTTTGTCTCTCCCTTTCCTCTTTCTGGGTTGACTTTTAAGTTCTTGGTAATTTACAAAAATCTTGGCCAAGTACAAGAACTTCAGTTAACTCATCGCAAAAACAGGTCCTGCTTAGGGGACGCCCTGCTAAGACCTGTATGGATTCATCAGACCTCCGAAGACGTTTGGAGGTTGGATTCCCAAACATCTGCCTTCTTCCCTCTGAACCTAATTATCTGCTATCTGCATCTCAGCTCACTTCTGCCTGTGAGTCATCTCCACCCTTCTCCTCACCTTGCCATTTCCGGTGGCTATCTGGCTTGATATAGACTGGGTGCAGCTGCTACAAAAAAAAAAAATCCTCCTTTGTTTTACTGTTTTACTGTGCTTATCTCATTTCTTGATACTCCTTAAAGGATTTATTAATGTGTTACTCTCCTCATATATTATATTCTTAAATAAGAGTTCCTGTTTCTGTATTAAAATAACTTCAGTACAAACTTAATATTTTTAAGGCTAAACCTGACAGGTATAAAACCTAAGTTCTAAGTTTATAAAGACAACTAACTTATAAATTGTTAAAAATAAGTTTACTTTAATTAAAGATAATTAAGAAATAAAACTTATTGATTGATCGGCCGACCTAAACTGTAAACTGTTAAGGATAAGTTGTACTTAAGCTATAAGCTATTAGAGATAATTATTAGGATACAAATAAAGGGTTAATCATCATAAATGATCAAATCTTCTAATGTATGCAAAATCATATTTATATACATGCTGAGTATGCTAAATGTCATATAATCAATTCATTACTTAGCCCCCTAGCATTTAAAATGTTTAAGCTTTGGACAAAACTGTCATAACCCTTATTGTCAGGGTTTTGTCCAAACTATGCTTTGAGATCATTTAGATTATATTCCCATTTACCAAGCCTAAAAGATAATTTGCCTTGCTATCCAAATTCATAGAAAAGGTAGCTTGCCAAACAGATTTCGAAATAAACTTTGACTGTTCTTTTATTTAAAGGAATTCACCACATTGGCTGCTCTCAGTAATCAATCACCTATATCTCCTGATAAATACAAAAATGCTTTTAGATGTAAAGTTTTTATAGGATATAAAGGATTAGATATAAAGAATGTTTAAGAACATTAAAAAATAGTTTATTATATGTGTAATGCAAGTCATTGGGATAGAAAAATATAACATATAAACATCTAGATATGTTATAAATGATACATAAATCTCAATAAGTAACCTAAAGATATTGAGGATATGCCTAAGTTAGATCTATGGATAAGGTTTTTATTGAGGTCTGAGATAGATATATAGGCTTTAAAAATAAACTTATGTATACCTTAATACAAAAGTCTATGGACCTCCTCAGAAGGGACACTGGGGCTAATTATAGGCCGTAGCTCCTTGGCTGTACAAGGTTGCCCTAGGGATGTGCGATTCTGACTTTACTGGAGAGATTAAGATCATTGTACAATTCAGATTCATACAGGGCAGCGCCTAAGGGAGCTGCTGGTGTGGATTCTAGTGATATGGCCTTCTGGGTTCAGAAAATTAAATATTCCAAACAACTAAACACTTAAAATATAGAAAAAGAAGATAATTGGCTTGCTAGACATAAACATAGATGTTTCTTATATTTCAGAAAAAGATTGGCCAAGTACTTAAGATGACTATTACTTCTTCGTCTCTTACAGGCCTAGGTCAAGCTAATAATGTAGCCAGAAGGTCAGGAAAATCTAATGCTCCTATCTGGATCAAACAATGGCTTTTAAATGCTGAGAAAATTATAATTGCTACCTGTCTGGTGGAGGAAAAACTTAAATATTGGGCATATAAAGTCCCCCACCAACCCTTAAATCACCCCAATATCTTTTTATTTAGGAAAATCAGGCTTATAGACTGTTACAGGTCCTTAAAAAATTAAATAAAATTTATTAAAGCCAAGGAAAGTCTCACAGCCTGGCTTGCCATCTCCCAGGGCCATCCCCAGAAATAAAAAAAAAAATAGTCATAGATATACAAGATTGCTTCTTTACCATACCTCCTCAACCTAAAAATTGTCAACATTTCACTTTTAACTTGCCTACTCACCCTACCATGATGGAGGCCAAAGCTGACATACAGAGCAGGAAATGCGAGTTCTGTTTATCCAGGACTCATTGATAGAACAAAGTTCCTCATTATATATACAGATTAACTGTCAACACTAACTGTCAATTATAGCTTCTTCACAGTCCCCCAACCTCCTATATGTATGTATACATGTATATGTATGTACATATATCTTACAATACATTTATTGTACAGATGATATATTTATATCAAACTATAAAACTTGTGAGTCTATAAAATGGCAACTAGCTCTACAGGATACACCTTTTCATATGTCTGTTCAACAATTATAAATTCTCTCCCTATGGAAGCTTACCCACGAGGCTTATGTCCTTATGATTTATGGTTATGAAATAAGAAGTTATACACCATTTCTTTCACTGCTTTTTAATCTTAGGAATGCCTTGAGCTCATATACAGACAACAGCCTTACATATACTTAAAGAGCTCTTAAGAATTGGTGCTTGATTTTTCATATCCCCCACTACAGGTATTCCTCATCACCACCAGGCCAAGTCACAAAGTTACACCTAAGCCTCTATGATCTCCTCAATGATATTTAAAAAGGTCCTGATGTTTTCATAATGTCAGGAGGAGGATACAAGTCTTTATATGACATTGACCAGCATTTATGAATCCTGAATTGCCTTGTCACACCATATGTTGGCAGCTGCAGGACAAAGGCACTCTAAAGCTGCCAGTCTAAATACAGGCTGTTATTTACCTCTAGATTCTTAAATATTGAGCCTTAAATATAAATAAATTGATACAATTCCAGATCCTTTTGATGAACTGTTCATCAAAACTTATAGAAATATGATTAGAACTAATAATTCTGTTCTAAATGTATTTTATTAATTTTTGTCAAAATAAATATGAGACTTGAGAGATATATAAATGACACATTTCAGATTTCATTCTCTGGCTATCATGATGTTTTGCTGAGGCTCCAAGGACTCATAATTTTGCTCTGATAAAGTTTACCACTGTTATATTGCTAACATGTCTAAGATTTTGTCTATTAAGAAGGTTCTTATAAGCTTCAGGAGATCACGCCGGCAGTGATGGTGCGCGATCAACATTTGCCAACGCCCACAAGCCAAGAAGGACTGGAAGGAATACAACCTGACTACAGTTTATATCTCCCACCTACAAATTTTCTTTTTCTTCTCTGGGGGTGGGGTCAGACCGCCCACAATTGCAAAATTTATTAGAGGGAGGAAAGCGTAGGATGCCCCAACCCGTGACTGCAGTCACTCTGGCTGTCCTCCTGGGGGTCGGGGCTGCAGGGACCGGTACTGGCATAGCTTCCCTAGTTTTATCTAATCAACATTATTCAGAGCTTAGAATTTCCATAGATGAGGATATAGCACAGCTTAAGCGAGGCATTTCCGCCCTTGAATCCTCCCTCACCTCCCTCTCAGAGGTGGTCCTCCAAAACTGCCGAGGGCTCAACCTCCTCTTTTTACAGCAAGGAGGTCTCTGTGCCGCTCTTAAGGAAGAGTGCTGCTTTTATACTGATCACACAGGAGGAGCAAGGGATAGCATGGCCAAGGTCCGGGAAGGCTTAGAGAAGCACAGAAAAGAAAGAGATCAAGAGCTAGGCTGGTTCCAAAATTGGTTCTCTGCATCTCCCTGGCTAACCACCCTCCTGCCGTCCCTTCTGGGACCCTTGGTTGGCCTCATTGTTGTCTTGACATTCGGCCCTTGGGCCTTATCTCGATTTGTGTGCGGTCAGCTGGCCGAACTTCAGGCAAAACAAATTCAGGTTCATTACCATCGCCTCGATCTCCATGATCCTGGTCTCGATGAATCAGATACAGACTCCATATCAGCACAGGCCCCTCTGCCCAGGGGAGGATGCACCTGTGCCTGGGAGCTGGAGCCCACTACATAGGGGATTGAGGGTGCAGCTGGGACTGCAGAAGGCAGGGAGACTAAAGTGCTCCACCATCCTGGGTGCCTTGGATGACAAGCTCTATTGCATGGCGGTTATGCAGACCCTATACCCTTTCCTCCCAAATTCAAACCCGCCCCCTGTAAAAACTGCATCGTTCCAGCCTCCTTCGGGGCATGTGGGGACGCCTGCATGAACCGACAGCCAATAATGGAACTTATCAGGGATAGAGCCTCTGTCACCCCTCTCCCATCATGGCAAAAACATTTGGGCCTCCTTTCTTTGTTTTGCTATACATATAGAAGGGGGAGATGTCAGAGACCAAACATGGACCATGGAAAAGTACTAGCTAAGCCAGAGAACAAGCCCCTACCCTAAACCAGATGCCCCCGAAGATAA